GCCCGAGGAGCGCGTGGCGCCCCCCAGCGTGGCGGCGCTGCGCTCCAACTTCGAGAGGGCGCGCAGGGCCGCGGGGCCGGCGGCGGGCGACGCCGAGAGGCCCTTCTACGCCAACGTCGAGTTCCACCACGAGCGCGGCCTGGTGAAGGTCAACGACAAGGAGGTGTCGGAGCGCATCAGCGCGCTGGGCAGCCAGGCCATGCAGCTGGAGCGCAAGAAGTCCGTGGGGGCGGGCGGCGACGCGCCCCGGCCCCCGCCCCGCGCGCGGGCCTCGGAGGGCTGCGGCCCGGACGGCGACTACGAGGACGCAGAGCTCAACCCGCGCTTCCTCAAGGACAACCTGATCCAGGCCAACGGCGCAGGCAGGCCCCCCTGGCCGCCCCTGGAGTGCCAGCCCTACCAGAGCGTCTACGTCGGGGGCCTGATGGGCGAGGGCGACGGCAAGGCCCCGCCGCTGCGCAGCCAGAGCGCCTCGGAGCCGGAGAAGCGCCTCACCTGGCCGCGCAGGTCCTACTCCTCGCGCAGCTTCGAGGACAGCGGCGGGGGTTACACCCCGGACTGCAGCTCCAACGAGAACCTCACCTCCAGCGAGGAGGAGTTCTCCTCCGGCCAGTCCAGCCGCGTGTCCCCCAGCCCCACCACCTACCGCCTGTTCCGGGACAAGAGCCGCTCGCCGTCCCAACACTCGCAGCAGTCCTTGGAGAGCGGCAGCCCGCCGACGCCGCAGTGTCCGAAGCGGCACCGACAGGCCCAGGTCGTGGTGTCGGAGGCCACCATTGTGGGTGTGCGCAAGACCGGGCAGATCTGGCCCAGCGACGGGGACAGCTTGCATGGAGAGCCAGGTGGGTACCTGCGCCGCCTGCACGGGCCACCGACCCTGTTCTGTGCCCCACTGTTGCGGGGGCGGGGGTCGTGGAGAGGGGGCCGGTGGAAGCTCTTTGGAGTTCTGAAGTATGTTGTGGACAAAAGGGACCTGGGTGGTCACAAGGGTTGAGCACGTGAGTGAGTATGAGTTGAGGGTTGGTGGCTCAGACCCACTCAGCAGTGCCGTGGTCTGCAGAAAGACCTGGCGGTCTGCTTCCGGGACGTCGCAGCCATTGAACCCACAGGGCGCAGTTCTGCTCTCTAAGGTATTGGGGTTGCTATGAGTTGGAACTCACCAGACGGCAGTGGGGTTGGTGTTTCGATGAGGCATGAGGAGACCCCAGGTGATACACATCATTAAATACTCAGTTACTAAGAGAGAGGTTGGAGTTTCAAGTCTCCCCAGACATGGCTGAGAGGAAAGGCCTGGTGAACTATTTCTGAAACAGCAGCCCTTGGAAACCCCACACAGTTCTGCTCTGACACACATGGGTTGCCTGTGGCCACGGGTTAGGCTAGTTTAGGTTGTGGACGGAAAGGGTTCATACTGATCTAAGCCGGAACAGATTCCCGTCTCCCTGCCCACTCCTGCGCACAGACCTTTGGTTTGTGGTGGGCATCGTTCCCTGGGTTCTAGAGTGGAGGTCAAGCCCTCACTCGGGCACTTTGGGTGGTCATCTCCTTGTCTCTGAGTTCCCAAGGTGTTTGTCCAGGGTGTTCCCCAACACCCCCCCTTGTACCCCCATTCCTGTACTGCATGGATTATATGACATGTCGGTGGAACCCAAGATCTGCTGGCTGGGGGCCCAGAGCAGGTACATGTCCGAGCAGGTGGAAGTGGGAGGGGAAAGGAAGCCAGGTGACAGGCAGGCCTGACTCAGTGGGCCCCTGGCATCCCGGGGCTCTGCCCACTCCTCTCCCTTCCCGGTCATTACTCACCTCCGACGGCTGTGTGCGCCTCTGGCTAAGCCTTCGACAGCCTTACCTCCAGCCTTCCCAGCCCCCCTGGAGCTTAATTGGGGTTCCCCATCGACGGTCTCTCCCTTGGGGCTGTCCACACAACTTCCGGAGCCAATATTCCCGTGAGGTGTTGCGGGGATGGGACTGAGTTTTGAGACCTAGGCCCAGATGGTTCAGGAGGTCGGCATGCAGGTCGGGCGGGTGGGGCTGGGGCCCCGGGGGGCTGGCGGCCCTTACAGGTGTCTTGGTCCCTGCTGGGCTGCTCCGGTTTTCGGCTCCATCTTTTTCTACTGATGGAGTTACATGGGGTTAAGACCAGCCAGGCTATTTTCGGCTGTGTGAAGGTGGCTTCTCTGGGATCCTGTTTGGTTTAGGGACTTGGAGCTGCTGAGTTGGCCGTTGGCAGCTGGGGTTACCTGATTTGCATCTCCTGAGCCTGTGGGCTGGCCCAGTGGTGTCCCCTAACTCCCTCATGGGGGCAGAGGACTGGGATTTAGAAGCTACTTGGCTGGTGCATCAGTTTGTTTGGGGTATGGAGGATTGCCCCATGGGCACTGGACACTGGCTGCCGTGCCCTGCATGCCAGCTGGTGGCTGAGCAAGCCAGGTCGAACTGGCCCCCAGTGCCGCGGAGTGGGAGAGCGTTACTACTATGAAGAAGACGAAGGATTTGCCTGGTGTCTGAAATCATGTTCTCATCAAAACGAAAAGAAACCAAACCCAAAAACCAAACCGACTCACAGTACCCCCAGAAGACAGAGTGGAACTGCCCCACGAGGTTCTGCAAGGCTGTCAATCTTCACAGAAGCAAAGCCCAAACCACACCCACCGACTTGGAGTGGATTCTGACTCACAGAACCCCGGGAGGACAGAGTGGATCTGCCCCAAAGAGTCTCCGAGGCTGTCAGTCTTTACAGAAGTAGATCGCCTCATCTTTCTTCCGGTGGAGTGGCTGGTGGATTCAAACCACCGACCTTTTGGTTAGAGCCCAATGCCTTAACCACAGTGCCACCAGCTCCCTTGATGTTCTCTTACTGCTGGGGAATTCTGATTTTTATGACATTGGGCGTGTTCAGGGTGGTATGGGCATACACACCACAGTGCCACAAGTGGCACTGGCAGGCCCAGGTGGTGGTGTCCCAGGTCACTGTTGTGTGCGAGGCCAGGCAGATGTGGCCCAGCAACGGGGGCAGCTAATGTTCACCCTGTATGCCTGTCTGTTGTTTGCCTGGAAGCCATGGGAGTGAGCTCAGTTCCAGACCTGAAGGGGAACTAGGGGCCGCAGTCTCAGGGGTCTCACCAGGCTCCATCAGACCAGTCGACCTGGTCTTTTTTATGATTCTGAGTTTTGTTCCCCATTGTTCTCCCACTCCATCCAGGGTCTCCTGCACCGATCCCCAAGGGGGTAAATCTTGGTGGAAGTCGACTGCCGCAGACTGCCACATCTTTCCCTGGAGAGCGGCTGGTGGGTTTGAACCATCGATCTTCCAGTTAGCAGCTAAGCACTTAACCATCGCACTACCAGGCCTCCATCAGACCGGTCAGCCTGGTCTTTTTTATAATTTTCAGGTTGTAATCTCTCAGAACATCAGGCCTGGTCGGGTGCGATATCCTGCAGGTGTTTTCCTCCTACCTAGCCCTCTGTTGGCGCGTTCTTGGGGAATGTTCCGGCCTGCCCTTACTAGCTCCTGTAGGCAGGGCCATCCTTTGTGCCATATGCATCCCATTCGGGGCATAGGGCGTGCACCCCTTAAGTGGCTGGAGTGTTAATCTTATAGTTCGGGCCTCACTTTTGGGACGTTCTGGATCATTCTCTGAATGTCCTCAAAGTCCCACGTCCTCTCTCCCGGCAGCTTTGGCTTTCAGAGCCTTCCAGCAGCCAGCTGTCTCCTGCTGGCTGGGCTGAGCGTGGCTGGCGGGAAAGCAGGGACCCCACACTGGCCCAGGCACCTGTCTCTGCCCCGCTGTTGACTGAAGTCCTGTAGATAGCTCTTCAGCCTGTTAGCCGAGGCTGCTCTCAGAAGAGGAACCCTAAGGTAAACCACCTGCAGGGCTGGAGGGACCCCCCAATTCTCCACAGCAGATGTGGTGGTGGAGGCGGTGTGGTGTTAGGTCCTGTCGAGTCGCTTCCAACTCCTAGCGACCCTGTGTACCACAGAACCCACAGTGCCCAGACCTGCGCCCGCCTCCCAATCCCGTCTATACCTTAGCCCCTCATTGCAGCCGCCATGTCAGTCCATCTTCTCCAGGGCCTTCCTGTTTTATGGTAATCCTCCACTTTACCAAGCGTGACATCCTGCTCCAGGGAGTGGTCCCTTCTGACACCGTGACTGAAGTAGGGCTCCCCTGCCCCGTCCCTGCCCCGCAGGGAGGATACGGCCCAGGACTGGCTGAGTCGGGATGAGCTGGGATTGGAGGGCCTCTTCCTTCTGGAACATGGAGGCCCTGCAGGCTTGCTCCCCTGCCCCACACTGCGGCCAGGGGTCCTTCCTGCTCCACACACCCAGGGCCCACCTAGGGGGTCACACCAGACGGCTGTGAGCCCCCCCAGTGAGCCAGCCTCTTCGCTTTGCAGGGTGTGTGGGGGGGGGTCACACAGGAGAGGGTGTGGTCCATGCTACCCGAGGGTTTGGACAGTAGTGAGAGAGAAGGTCACATACATCGTGAGTGGGTTCACAGAAGCTTCCGGAGGCAGCCGCACCAGCACGAGGCCTTGACCCAGGAGTCTAGCAGCAGAAGGTGGGGGAAAGCCCCAAGGAGCCGCAGGAAGCCAGCTGCCGGCAAGTCCACTCTGACTCCTGGCACCCCCGAGCGTGTGGGAGTGCAGCTAGGCTCTGTAGGGTTTTCAGGGGCTAATTTTTGGACATAGGATGCCAGGCGTTTCTTCCGAGGTGTCTCTGGGTTGAGTAGGCCCTCCAGCCTTCTGGGCAGTATCCGAACGTGTTCACCATTTGTACCGACCAGGGACGGTGGAAGCCACGTTGCCCGCCCCCCCC